TTTTATTCCAATATTTCCCAATTAATCTCTTTTTTAAATCCTTTTTTACCGAGCTTTCCAAATCTCAGCTCTTCCAATAATATTTTTTTACTGAGCCTTTCCTTTTCACGGCTCTTCCAATAAATCAATTGAGCCTATAGCTCTTCAATTTATTCTTCTAACTTTTTCTTTAATAACCCGCCGTTGGGTCGTGGCACCAAATGTAAAAATACTTTCCCCTTTCTTAGGGAAAACTATTTCACCTTCCTATTCTTTAATAGGGAATTAAAATATCTTAAATTAATTATTCCCTCGGAATAATTAACTAGATAAAACAAATTAAATAAATAAACACAAACACAACTAAAATTCTTTATCTTCAAACAAAATAAATATTCACACAGAATATTAAAAAAAATGAATATCTCAAAAGACATTGAAAAGTGAAATTTCTGCCTACTTTTTATAGGCAAAAATTTCTATATAAAAATGATGCAATGTTAAGTACATTGCAAAAAAGTACATAAAAAATTGTCAAAAATGGAAAGTGACTCACTGAGTCACCTCCAAAAATAATAAACAAAATAAAAAATATCAAAAATATTTCAAATCTTTAATTCTTCAATTTCGTCATCGACAACATCTTTCCTATCTTTGAATTTTCTGTGATGGTCTCGGCCGTCTTTTTTATTTAAACTCAAACATACAATTTTCTATCGGTAGTAAAAGTACAATTGAACGGACATTTAATGGTTGTTTTGATCACAGGATAATCAGGATAACCGATTCCTTGACTTGATACTCGAATACATTTATTCCATATCAAAATTGGGGGCATTTTCTGCTTTTTAATCTTAATCTTAATTAATTTTTAAATTGGAAATGAAATGATTTAGGTAGTAACTTCTTAAACGTTTCAATTTTTTAATTCTTATACTTAACAGTAGGGCTCGGATTTTTATGTTGTAAAAACTCAAAAATATGTTTTACAACCCTTCAAAATCCCACTTTTTTAAAGTCATACACGATTTTAATGATATTTACTGGGTTATCTCAAGGAATCAAGCTTTTAAATTCAAATCCTTTGTGAATTTCTGAAAATAAAAATAAGCATCCCGACTTATTTAAATCCTTTAAAATTTAATAATTACTACCACATTAGATGATTTGAGAATATAAAATTGATCCTGTTGGTTATAATTTAAATAATATAATGAAGTTAATATTAACATTATAAATAAATTTAGACAACAAATTAATTTTGATAGATCCATTGATTCTGGTTATTTCATTTATTTTATTTTATTTTATTTTATGAGCAACCACATGGTATAAAAAAATACACTAATAGTGGTGAAAAAAAATATATGTAAAAAAGACAAATATGTATAAAAAAGAATTTTTTGTAAAATAAATTAATTTAATAGAATTATGTATTTGGAGTGTTTGGTGAAATAATTCTTTTGGTGTATATTTTGTTAAAAATTTGTTTTATTTCACCAAACATTTAATAAATTAAAACTTAAGGAAAAATGTTTCAAAAAATGTTTGGTTATGAAACAAAAAATTCAATAAACGTATCGAATTCGTTATTTGAAATTTGTTATTTGAATTTTGTATTTACATTCTTGTAAATACACATATTTAAATGGCATCACGACTTTTGCGCCGAGAATATTTGCGCCGCGACTTATGCGCCGGCGACTTGTGCGCCGCAACATTTGCGCCGCCATAATTAAAAAAATAATATCTACTGTCGGACCTAATTATAGTGTACTCCTTAAAAAATGGTATCCACGAGCTGAAGGAATTTCAGTAAGTACAATATTTCGGGGAGTACAATAGCCCCCTCTAATAAACCGACCCCCTAGAGGAAGGTTTAAAAATAAACCTACCTCCAAGAGTTAAATTTCAAATAATGCAGTTTTATTATTTGAAAAAAATAAAACACTGATTTATAGAATTTCATATTTCCCAATCAGCCATTCAAATTTGACAAAAAAATAAATGAAAACTTTTGTTAACAATCAATTTTTCTCGATAAATTTTTAGTAAAAGCCCTCGCCTTTTTCGCCTCTAATAATAATCTTAAGCAAATAAAGAATAAAAAGGTTATAAAAATGTTTGCCAACAATAAAATTTTAACATTATTTGCATGAAAATAAATTTTAAAGATAACTAAAATTTCTTTTTATGATTTCTCTTTTTAATATATCAATTGAAAAGTTCATTCAGCAAGGTTCGTTTCCAGATATGTCAATTAAACTTTAAATTTATAAAAAATTCTAATGTAAATATACCGTATTTTTTGTATTAGAGCCCCATGGGGCTCTATTTTTCAACTATCCTCCAAAGTGGGGCTATATTACAGCGTGGGGCTCTAATAGAGCGTGGGGCTCTATTTTTCAACCTATTCTTGAAAATAAGTAATAGGATTTTCAATTATACGGTTAACTATATTTATCCAATCAATTAAAGTTTAATCACAAAAGCAAATTTCAACATTGAGATATTTCCAAATATGATAGTCACGCGTGTACACTAAGGCGCGGTTAAGTGCATCTGAGTTAGATTTAAGGCCGAATTGGAATTTTAATTTGTGGAAGGTTCGAATCCTATCGAGCCTTTGAAGGTTCGATTCTATTTTTCTTCAGTCCGTACGTTTCAATCTCTCGTGAATATATTCCGGTTCAGTCCCATGAAAGGATATAGATGTGATTAAGAAGGTATTTCCATGTTGACTCCGGGCTCCGGGTGGAAAATCAATGGATAATATTATTTCGTTGATTCGTGCAGATTAAAGGGATATCGAGTGATAAGAGGAGTGAGAAGGATATCAAGGTATTAAGCGGGATTTGGGCAGATTATAGTTTTTTGGGCAGATAGAGTAACTCGAAAATGCTCAAACTCGACTTACTCTACTTTATTTCACAGACGAGTCAATTTATAAAATCGGGATTTGCATCTGGATCTGATGCACATAACAATCCCGATCTCGGCCTCGGGATTGGCCGTGATCGGGATCAGGATTTGAAAAACCCGGCTTACTCCCGCCCGATCCCGACCAAGATCCCGATCCCGCTGAACTCTAATCAATCTATGCCTCCAGTGACAGAACCTAACTGGAATGAACTGCTTTGATTTGACTGGAAATGATAGAAAAGGCTGTACAGTATTAAAAATAAATTTATTAACTTAGGTATGTGAAAATTTCATAAAGTGGGGCTTTATTACAGCGTGGGGCTCTAATACAGCGTGGGGCTCTATTTTTCAACTATCCTCCAAAGTGGGGCTTTATTACAGCGTGGGGCTCTAATACAGCGTGGGGCTCTAATACAAAAAATACGGTACTTATAATTAAACGGGAACAAAAGTTCTTAAAACATGAGCTTAAAAATTGTCAATTTTTGACTCCTCAATTTCAAAAACAATCTTCAATTAATTTCTAATAAATTACTTTAACAAATTTACGGATATAGTGTAGTTCACCGGAAGTAAAAGATCGGGGCGTGACATATGTCATTAGATTCGTCTCGGCGAGCTGAATCGGTCGGTACACTACCAATTTCAAGAAACGATTCTGGACCGAGTTATAGGTCCCGAAAAATTAAAAAACCAAAGGGAGCTCGCTTTGCTCGCGGCGACCGTAGCGAAGCGATTCTGGACCGAGTTATAGGTCCCGAAAAATTAAAAAACCAAAGGGAGCTCGCTTTGCTCGCGGCGACCGTAGCGAAGCGATTCTGGACCGAGTTATAGGTCCCGAAAAATTAAAAAACCAAAGGGTGCTCGCTTTGCTCGCGGCGACCGTAGCGAAGCGGCGGCCGTCGTTCAGCTCGATATTGGCTTCCTCCGCAGCGGCAAAAACTTTTTCCGCAAAAACTTTGTGAGGATAACCGTTGTTTTTAAAAAATTCTAATCTTTTGAATTTAAATTTGCTAACTTTATCAACTATCAATGGAGCAAAAAGTGTATTTTTTTGGCCTACAGCCTTACAAAATTTTTAAAATTTTTAATGCGGCGCTAAAAAAAATTTTACTCGGAAACTATTTTTACACTTATTATTTATTGATCTTTCAAAAAATTTTCAACATTAAATTTGTTACAATCTTTATCATTCCAAAATTTATTTAAATCTATTATATTCTTTGATTTTTCTTCAAATTGTTTAGTAGCATATTCACATATTTTGCATATTGGAGAATAATCATACCCAAATTTCCTTTTTGTATATGCTTTTGTCCATTCAAAATGTCTGTATTTTAAATTATCTATACAAAGCTGAATAAATTAATGTCCCCATACTAGGTAAATTTTTGTAAGAGGAAGCGGGGACACATACACAATTAGTAAAACTTTATTTAACTCCTATACATCAAAATTTTGGAGCCATTTGATAACAAGATCGAGCCCTTAAAGAATCTTAATTTTAATAATCAAACCACACGAGAACTCGGTAGGTATTTTCACTACTCGAACCCTGTACATTTTTCAGTACTATATACCGGTAGTTTTGCTAAGATTGAGTTTTAACTGACAGTGATTAAATTTTTAAATTTACTTTAAATATCTTTCTGTATCATTTTGCAAAGCCTTTAGATGCGCAACAAATTCATTCACTGATTTAAAATCATCCAAAGCAATAAATGCACTAGAAGGAACATCCATTCCTTCGAAAACTTATCTACTAAAAACTACAGGTACAGTAAGTGATCTTAACGAATTCCAAAATTTTTCTGTTACATAATTGTGACAAATATTATTCTCCAATGCCAAATAAAACATGTGTGTTTCTAAAAATTATTTATTATATACATAAGTTTACGGAAACTAAAGGTCCAAATTCTTAAATTTGGGGCCTACACTTATGATTATGTTTAAAGTTAGACCCTATATGTATGAATACATTCTGAGAACACTCAGTAAAAATAAAGCAGCTAATGACTTGTTGCCTATGTAATTTTAATCAAATTTAATTTTACCTAAATTTCGTTTATAACATTCATCATCGCAACCTCTTCTACCATAACACACACCAACAACCTCCAAATCCATTAATTTTTGTAGTTTTTTTGAAATAAGATCACGACCAGATTCAGAATTACAATGAGATATTGCTTGGAAAGCTAATTTTGTTTTGTTCTTAACTGTTGCCAGGACCTTTAATTTAAAACATCCTCATATTTGAGTCACAATTATGTAATTTTTTTCTGTTTTATTTAAATTTTTACTAATCAAACGTGGAGTAGATACCTAGGCGATTCCCTCTAATGATACACCATCATAATTTTTCTGCACCGTTTGTTTTTAGTTACCTCTTTTTGATCCCAAATATATTCTTTTGGAGTAGTTGGAGTAATTCTCGTTAAAGCATCATAAGGCATAAATACAGAACTATCTAAACGATAAGTTGCTGTACTATTAAAAAATTTATTTGTTAGAAATTTTCTGTCATATATTTCAAGGTAGTCTGTATAGGAGATTCAACTGTAAACATCATATAATTTTGATCTTCTCTACGATTTTGAGGCCATGAATTTATAGCACAGAATGTATGGAGCAAGAAAATCGTTGTTGATGCGTTTGTCTCGCTTAATAAAATTAAAGTTATTAGTAATCACTAGAGAGGTTAGTCATCACTCAAGCTTTTATTGGGTTTTTTTCGATTTTGGTCTTGAGGTGCAGTTTTAGTTTCGAGTCTTCTCCAGGAAAATTTTAATTTTGGATAGCTCTAGTAATCACACTATTTAATTAAATAATTATCAATCTACCATACATACAATTATCAATCTATCATACCAAAAATCATAGAAAATTTATGAGCTATGAAAAACTGTTATTTTCAGGTAAATGAAAGAGCTCCACAATAGGACTCTTAGAAGGGCTCTTTCTAACAAATTTATAATACAAAATTGTATTTTTATCCTCTCAAACTAAAGTAAATATTTTTATTTTCGCCGCATTTACCCATTTGTTTCATACTCATTTAATGTAAGGACAAGAGCTGCGTCGAAATAAAAAAATCTTCGAAATTCGGAAATCGAAAATCGAAAGAAATCCAAAAATATCGAAATCGAAAATCGAAATTTTATAAAAAAATTCGAAAATCGAAAATCGGCAGAAAAAAACGTCGAAAATCGAAAATCGGTAATCGAAAATCGAAATTTTTTAAAATAACTAAAAGAGTAGTAAACAATCTCCAATATGCAGATATAAGGGTTAATCTTGGGATATAAGGGGATTCAATGGATTTATGGAAGTCTTAAGAGATATCAGTGATCGTAGGGATATACAGGATTAGGGGGTTGACTAGAGACCAATTAAATCCGCACCCTAGATCACTTTAAATCCTTTATTCCTCCGATATTCTACTTACCCCTTGATACCCTTGATATCCCATCCTCCTATATCCCTCTTATTATTGTAAGGTAAATGGATTAATTGGAGGCTCGGGTGGAAAATCTATTATGATATTATTCAGGTGGATTTGGGTAGATTAAGGGGGATATTATATGATATCAGGCGAATATGAGGGATATCAAGGGTTACGCGGGATTTGGGCGGATTATTGGGATTTGGGTGGATTAAAGGGAATCTCGCGATCTGCTTATCCCTTATTTTTATCCCTCCATTTTCTTAACCTTTTTTGCGCCGTAGGCAAAAATTTTCAGAATTTTGAAGATCATTAAGCCAAAAAGTTCCATTTTCAGCGCCGCAGGCGAAAATTTAGAGAATTTTGAAAGATCCTTAAGCAAAAAATCTTTAATTCTCTGCGCCGGAGGCGAAAATTTTAAAAATTTTGGAAGACTAGAAGACAGATTTCTTCATTTTTCAGCGCCGCAGGCGAAAATTTTGAGAATTTTGAAAGGCCAAGTAGCCAAATTTCTTCATTTTTGGCGCCGCAGGAATAAAATCTTAAGAGAAAAGATAATGCAATTTTGCAAAAAATATCGAAAATCGAACGAAAATCGAAAAAACTAAAATTATCGAAATCGAAAATCGAAATTTTATGAAAAAATTCGAAATTCGGAAATCGAAAATCGGTAGAAAAAAACGTCGAAAATCGAAAATCGAAAGTCGAAAATCGAAATTTCGACGCAGCTCTGGTAAGGACTAGTTGATTTGTTACACGAATTGCTTAGCCTTGCAGATAAGCAAAAATTTAAACGATCAGACGGTGGTTGTAAAGTTTACAAGATCAAATCTATCCTATCTTTGCTATTTTCTGTGATGAGCTCGGCCGTCTTTTTTATTTAAATCCAAACATACAATTTTCTATCGGTAGTAAAAGTACAATTGAATGGACATTTAATGGTTGAATTGATCACTGGATAATCTGGATAACCAATTCCTTGACTTGTTACTCGAATACATTTATTCCAAATCAAAATTGGGGGCATTTTCTGCTTTTTAATCTTAATCTTAATTAATTTTTAAATTGGAAATGAAATGATTTAGGTAGTAACTTCTTAAACGTTTCAATTTTTTAATTCTTATACTTAACAGTAGGGCTCGGATTTTTATGTTGTAAAAACTCAAAAATATGTTTTACAACCCTTCAAAATCCCACTTTTTTAAAGTCATACACGATTTTAATGATATTTACTGGGTTATCTCAAGGAATCAAGCTTTTAAATTCAAATCCTTTGTGAATTTCTGAAAATAAAAATAAGCATCCCGACTTATTTAAATCCTTTAAAATTTAATAATTACTACCACATTAGATGATTTGAGAATATAAAATTGATCCTGTTGGTTATAATTTAAATAATATAATGAAGTTAATATTAACATTATAAATAAATTTAGACAACAAATTAATTTTGATAGATCCATTGATTCTGGTTATGAAACAAAAAATAAAACCGGGAAACGGGTCCGGGTCCCGATCCCGTTCCTAGCTCTAAAATCGACCCCCTAGAGGAAGGTTTAAAAATAAACCTACCTCCAAGAGTTAAATTTCAAATAATGCAGTTTTATTATTTGAAAAAAATAAAACACTGATTTATAGAATTTCATATGTATTTCCCAATCAGCCATTCAAATTTGACAAAAAAATAAATGAAAACTTTTGTTAAAAACAATTTTTCTCGATAAATTTTTAAAAAACACATCGCCTTTTTCGCATTTAATAATAATATTAAGCAAATAAAGAATAAAAAAGAGTATAAAGAATAAAATGTTCGCCAACACTAAAATTTTAACATTGATTATTTGAATGAAAATAAATTTGAAATAAAAATTACGTTCTAAAATTTATCTTTTCTAAACTTATCAATCGAAAAGTTAATTGAGCTAAGTTCATTTCAAGATGCTTGGATTAGCTTTAAATTTACAAGAATTCTAATGTAAATATCGTATTAATTCAACTAAACAAAATCAACAAATAAAAATAGTACAATTGGGCTATAAATAATACCGATAATGAACACAGAATAAAAATTCCGTAAAATAAATTAAGCTAAATAATGTTTTTATTAGATTAAAATCAGAAAATCAGCTTATTCAACAACCAAATAATTAAAATATTGTAAAGCATATAGCTATTAATTTCCTAAGGCTGAGCAGTAGGCGGCTTGGTGTAATGGCTAACACATCAGTCCGGTCTACTGAAGATGCTGGTTCGCTCCCAGCCGCCGAATAACCTTTTGCACTAGCTAAAGGAGAGAAATAGCTATAGCCCAGCTGCTTTACTATATTAAGAATGAAGAATTAAATCACAACACCCAAAAATCTAAATAAATAGCCTCAAACAAGTAAAATATTTAATGAAAAAATATAAAAAATGAAATAATATTATTAGAATAGCATCAGTTAATGAAATTTATAAATTAAACGATGAATTAATAAAAATTTAAAATTAATAATAATTACATATTAAAAACATTAAAAAAGATAAAATAAATTATAAAATTTTAAGAAAATATTTATTTATCTATTTTTGTTCTTTAATACGGATTATATAAATAATATTTCTAAATATTTAATTGGTATACAAATGTATGTATTTATTTATAACTGCGTAATAAATATTAAATTTAAAATTTAATTTAGTTATTTGCCAGTTTAGGTTATTTCATCAGATGCTTGGTTAAGCTATGTAGCCTAAAACGTTTTTTTTTCAAATAGCCGTAAAAGTTAAAGCTTAATGGATTTGTATGATGAAAGATTAGCAAAATTTTATTAAGGAATACACATTGAATTTTCATTAAGACCCACAAATTAAAATAAATTAAAGTTTTACTTTGAAAATTTTTAAACGGCAGTAAACAAAAAATTTGGCTTTTTCGAACATCGCCCTCCCAATTTATTTAAAAAATTTCTATAATTAGGGGAGTAAAAAACTCACGATCACAACTCGGAGTTTACTGCGGAAGTATGTTTCTAGTAAAGAGGTTGTCGTTTTAAAACTATTGGTGTTCGGATCTTAGTTAAAAAGTTAGTTTTAAATGGCTTTAATTATACTAAATGTATTATTTTTAACATTTTTTTTATTTATTATAATTTTCAGTAAAATAATAATTAAATAATTTTATATATTGTTTAAAAATAAATAATATTTTGTGTAATAATTTTATTTTGTATAGTTATTGTGTTGTTGTGATTGGTTGCCACACATTTGTGTTAATAGTTGATGCCATTCTCATTCCAAAAAGTAAATTTTGCGAAGTAACATTTAATGTATTACTTGGAGATACTCCTGTAGATGCAAAACAACTGGCTGCTAATTGCTGTATTTGTTGTTGCATTACTTCATTCATTGAAGGACCTCTAGCAATTAAATGGGAAGTAGAATCTGTTACTAAAGATAATGATGATGATGAAGAAGATGGAAATACTCCCATTGATGAAATATTAAAATTGAATGGGGAATTGGAAAAATTTGATGGCTGAAATTAAAGGAAAATTAAGTTTGAAAGCCTAAAACACAATAAGGTCAATATATGCCGTTATAATGAAGAGGTAAGTCGAATGACACCAAAATCGACCTGCGGTTTCTTAAGTGTCTGAGGTTATTCCCTCAAAAATTAATATAGTTCAAACAGAATATATTTCAAAGAAATTTTTAGGTGAAATGCCCGAATATGCAAATACTAGTACAAACACAATTATTTCAATATTAAATTTAAGGTTGTTCTAAAAGGGTTTGATTTAGTAATTGATGGATAAGTGCTCAATAGATCACTCGCTCCAACAGATATAGGAGCTTCGGTGACCTAATTTAAGCGATTTAAAATTTCAAATTTAGAATTCGAGAATTGGAACAATGTGTTAATTCTATATTTTTTCCCATCAACTGTTACTGCCGACAACGGTAACCAATCTTATAAATACCAGTCTTATAGTACCTTATCTTATGTTTGCGAATTTATAAGATTGGTTAGAGTGAGCCAAGTTGAGAGGATTTTAGGGAAATTATTTAAAACGGATTATTTTTAACTTTTGACGGAAAAACAAAGTGAAAGACAACCATTACGATTATTTATCATTAATATTAGTTAAAATGAGATACTCCAGGTTTTGCCTGATTAAAGAAGAGAGAGTTTCGCGCAGTTTCTGCTAAAGCAGTAGATGATGATGCTTGGTTTATTTTTGAGTTCGATTGAATAGTTTGGCCTGAATGTTGACTTCTATTAATTTGTTGTATTATACTTCGTTGAGATGCTGAAGACGATTGAACACTTGTGCTTGCTGAAATCTATAATTAATATGTGAATTTGAATACTAGAAAACATCAAATCCTTGACTTATCACACACATTAAAAATGATAGAAGATAGGACAACTATTTTATGAGCAAGGATAAATATTAGGCAAGATCACTTTAAACGATCAAGCACAAAAACATCCATCCTTACTAAACTCGATTTAATCTCTATTACTTTTCTTAATTCAAATAATAACATCAATTTACAACCTCCCTCTCTCGTTGTCTACGGTCAGAAACAGCTGAATCAATTGGCTGACAAAAATGAGGAAAATTTGAAGGTCTATCAGGGTTCGAATTAACCAAACGTCCTTGACGAACCTTTTGAATTAAAGAAATTTAATTTATAATTTATCTAAAAATAGATTTACAGCAATTTTTGGAATTCTCCTTCCATCATTATAACGTTTAGCATGCATACAACCAACACATTTGTAATAAGCTGTTTCTATTCCACGTTTATCCTGATGGGAAGAGGAATAGCAAAATTCCTAGAAAATTTTGTAATCTTCAAAGAATTTAAAATAACTAACAAATCTTTTTCCTGGCTGTAAAACACTTTCATACAAAACCATCCTTCTTTTATATTTTGTACATGCATAATTAACAGCGCCAAAGTCAATAGTTGGTGCCATTTTAATAAATTAATCGAGTTTTGAACTTTGAGAGAGGGTAATATTGTTTCAACTTTACGCAAGAGGGGTAGGTAGTGGGCGATTAATCGATTAATTTCGGTCTATTATATTAATTTCGGTCTATTATATTTAATTTCGGTCTAATTTTAATACTTCTAAAATGCGATAAAAAATATTTAATATAGTATACTATTTATCGAGAGAACTTCACTACGTTAATGATTAGATGGCTCTTGTCCAGTTTATGCGTCCCATGAAAGTATATGCGTCCCATCAACAAAAAATTGGATATTTCTTGGTGTTGCAAAGTAGGGGTATGGTTCCAAAGCATTTCTTCATGTTCGGGATCTAGGTCCACTGGGTCTGGGACCGTTCCTTACCATATCCTTCGAAATTTCTGTAAGTTATAGCCAATTTTTAAAAATTTCAGAAAAACGATTTTAACTTTCAGAAATTTCGAGGTATAGGGTAAGGAACGGTCCCAGACCCAGTGGACGTAGATGCCGAACATGAAGAAATGCTTTGGAACCATACCCCTACTTTGCAACACCAAGAAATATTCAATTTTTTGTTGATGGGACGCATATACTATCATGGGACGCATAAACTGGACAAGAGCCGATTATATTTAGTATAAGAATCAGTGATGTCAAAGTTCCAGAATTTCTCTGGAACTAGTTCCAGTTCCAGAACTAGGTTTTTAATTTTAGTAGTTCCAGTTCCGGAACCAGGTTTTTAATTTTCGTAGTTCCAGTTCCAGTTCCGGAACTCCAATTTTAAAACTCCTTAGTTCCAGTTCCAGTTCTGGAACTAGTTCCAAGCTAGTTCTGGTTCCAAATTTTTAATTTTTTTTGAACATGAAAAGATTGATCATTTTTAACAAATAAAGGCATAGGTAATTTAGAAAATCATTTAGTTTTAGGCAAAATCGCATTCACGGGATCCCGTAACGGGATTTTTTTCAAAATTTTTACGGGACAAGATCCCGCGGGATTAATCCTCTAAATCCCGTAATCCTGATAATCCCGTTCTAAAATTTAGCGGGATTTCGGGATTTTCACATAATAGATATCGGGGAGATATGAGGATTTGAAGGGATTAAGGGATTTAAAAGGATATCTGGGGATATTTTTGGTGATATCTGGGTTATAAGAGGATTATGAGTGATAACGGAGGATTTAAGGAGATTGTAGGATAAACTGGAGGATTAAGAGGCCGAAAAAATCCACTTTTCAGCGCCGCAGGCGAAAATTTTGAGAATTTTTAAGGTCGAAGGCCTAAAAATCCACTTTTTCAGAGCCGCAGGCGAAAATTTTTAGAATTTCTAAGGTCGTAGGCCAAAAAAATTCACTTTTTCAGCGCCGCAGGCGAAAATTTTTAGAATTCTGGAGCTCAAGCAGCCAGATTTCTTCCATACTCAGCGCGCTGCAGGTAATTTTCGAGGAAATTTTGTCAAAAATATACCCCCGGGAACTAGTTCCAGAACTAGTTCCAAAGCTAGTTCCAAACATCTACTAGTTCCGTAGTTCCAGTTCCAAGCTAGTTCCGGACATTTACTGGTTCCGTAGTTCTAGTTCCAAACTGGTTCCAGATAATCGTTAGTTCCGTAGTTCTAGTTCCGGAACTGGAACTAGAACTAACTAGTTCCGGAACTAGAACTGGAACTTTGACATCACTGATAAGAATGTTATTTTGTTTTTAAAAGATTTTATTTTTATTCAGAAAATATAGACAAATTTTAAAAATAAGCAAAGTTATCTAAATATAGCTATATTAAAATGGCACAGCTAAAAACAAGACTTACTTAGAAATAATCTAAAAAAACAAAATATTATAGCAATAAATATTTTAAATAACTTATAAACAAGGATAAAAGTGATGATCTTTGTTTTCGTTATATAATATTATAATAATCTTGATGTTCGCGTTTAAAAAATTAAAGCTCCCGGCCGAAGGCCGGGAGCCTCCTGAAAGTTGTACATCCTGGGGGGTACTTTTAAAGGCGCATTTAGGAAAAATAGTCACTCGGCGCCACGACTTTTCCTTTGCGCCGAAACGACCCCATGAATTTTGCTATCTCGCGAACGGAAAGTCGGAGCGCTTAGGTCCCGCTGGGAGGATGACGTCCCGCATTTAGTAGATATTAAATAAAAAAAAATTTTTGAAATTCGGTTAAGCCCCGGGGTAGTTATGCCTGCGTAACCCTTATTAAATGGTGGCATTTTGTCGTGGTCATGGGTAGCGGTCAATTGTACTTTTCCCATATCTCGGGAACGGACCGACGGATTTGGATGGGA